TATAACCCATTATGAACTCTGTATTTCCTGCTTACAAAAAGTATCAAAGTTACTGTTTTACTATAAGCCAGTGCCTATGTTCTGGGGAGCATCAGCCAGCCTGTGTAAATAAAAGTTGCCTTCCAGACTCGGGGATGCAAGACATTTTCCACATGGTCTGCTACAGTTTTCTGCAACAGTATCTTGGAAGTTAAAAATTATACAAAGTCGTTATTATACTGCCTCATAAAAGATATTTTTAAGTTAATCTGGAATTTTTCACCATGTGCATGAGCAGTTTGATACCACTGGCTTCATTTATGTTAAAGCTCCAGGACTTTTATTCTCAGTGCAAATGTCAACACACTGTAATAAATAAAGTACTAATATGATTTTCTTTCTTTCTTTCTTTCTTTCTTTCTTTCTTTCTTTCTTTCTTTCTTTGGTATAGGGTCTCACTACACAGCTCATACTCATAGTGATCCTCCTGTTTTCAGCCTCTCCAGCACTGGGATTACAGGCATGTGCTACCATGCCTGGACCAGGTCACTGGCTTGGCACACTCCAGGTGAATGCTAGGTGGCATTCACCAGGGATCAAACCCTGGTCCCTGTGCTTGTCAAGCAGGCAATTAGTCCACTGAGCTATCTAGCTGGACCCACTAGGCTGAAAACAGGAGGATCACTATGAGTCTGAGCTGCACGGTGAAAACCTATACCAAATACATAAATGGAAAAATTAAAAAAAAAACAAAAAAACGCATCCAGGCAGGAAGATCACCTGAGCCAGGACTTCTAGGCCAGCCTGACCAACATCGTTGAGACCATTCCAAAGCCAAAACAATATAGCACTGACTTTTTGGAGCCCTGAAATTCTAGGGTCCTTGGATCAAATTTTGAGAATTACTAAACCATCAGTCTGTCTATCATAATGAATGATAACATCTATGAGGGCAAATAATACTGAATATTATTCATTGCTATAATTTTAAGGCACCAACATAACACATAGTATTCAATTAACAAACATAAATTTGTTGGTTACAGATAGTGGTTTCCCTCAGTCACCTGGATAATTCCTAGTGAAGAGTAAGCAAATCCAGGAAAGCAAAGCATTAGAGAGCAGAGTGATGATGGACTATGGATGTTTTTAAGATAAAATTGAAGATTTAGAGAAAAGATGAGAACAACAAGAATGAGTTAACTCGGGATAAAAAGACTTTGGTACCATCCTTTTAGAAATGACAAGGGCAGCTGGATACCAAGAGACACAGTTCCAACCTGAACCTAATAAGCCCCTTCCCTGTGAAACCCGAGGGGTTAAAAAGGAGAGCTCTACATGATAAAATAGGGGCCGACCACAGAGAGATGGGGAAGAGAAAAAAAACATGCACTCGATGATGGAAGATGACATCTATAACTCTGTGATGGTATCTGTTTCCCATTGCTAATCTGTAGTTCATTAAATCACATAATGAGCTACAGATTAGCAATGGTAGTAAGGATAGAGGATATCATTTATCCTCTATTCCTCTGGATATATTAAAATTGCTCCTTAAAAAACTGCACACTGAATGGGACCTTACAGGCTCATTAAAATTGGTCAGAGCAGAAGAGATAGGAAAGCAAAAGGTAAAAGAAGAAAGGTGGTAAACCAAATACATAAGGCTTCAAAGGAAACACTCCTTCATTTTGAGCTCTCTTGTCATGAGATACGGCCTACCAAAGACAGTGACAGTATTCACCAGCTGCAAACCTCCCCAATTCCCCTGGAGGAGGAGATCACATTCTGACTACTATGATGGACTGAGAAAGCCCCAGGAGCAAAGCCAGAACTTTTTCCCTACACCAGGCCATCCCATCCCATAAAGGTCTACCTTGGTAACATGAAGATCATTGTTGGAACCACGAACTGGAGGCAAATGATCTCTCACTTCTGGAAATGGTTCACTTTCCTGAAACTGCATTCTAGTTTCTTCTTTTTGTATTTCTGCTACCCAACTCTAAAAAGAATGACAAAAAAGAAAGTGAATATACATTTTGAAACAGTTACCCAGGCATTAGAAAGATCTAATTTCATTTTAATTTCCTATGAGTCCATTTTTAGGTGATAATTTGATATGCCATTCTCTATCTCTGGAACACATTTCCTACCTTTTCTTTTTAATTGTGGCAAACAAAAGGACATAAAAATTAACAACTTTTTAAGCATGTCCAGCCTTGTTAAGAATATTCACGTTGTGGCTGGTGATCTTGCTTACACATGGATATGCATACTTGTAGAACACTGTCCCAAAAACACCAGATCATAGATCTAAATGTAAGAGTTGAGACTTCCAGGAAGATGGCAGAGTGATGAGCAGCAGAGAAAGAGCCTCTGTGAGATCTGGTGTCCAGACGCTGGATTACAACAACATGAAGAAGAGGAAAAAGAGGGAAGTGGGTCCCCGGGGCTCAGAAAGAAGTAAGAATTGAAGCCCAGGGCTGGGGAGAAAGCTAAGCAGCCTAAGTGCCTGTCTGGCAAGCACAAGGACCGGGCTTCAATCCCTCGTGCCACATGCTGTGCCAGCCCCAGAACCCCGGGTGCGCTGTGCTGGCCACCAAAACCAGGCTTGATGGTGCACACTTGTAACTCCAGCACTGGGGAGGTTCAGACAGGAGGATCATTATGAGTGCAAGCTTCATAGCGAGACCCTGTACCAAATTAAAAAAATAGATAGATAGATAGATAGATAGATAAAGATGTAAAATATATAAATTTATATCAAATTTATAATATAAGTTGAAGCCCACTAGGAGACCAAAGAAAGAATCTTCAACAAAGAAGAGGGACATGGCAAGTGGTGCTTTCTCCCTGAGCTCAGACTCACTACACGGGAGGTTAAAGGTCACAAATTAATAGTTACATCAGTCTGTCATTTTCTAGGCTATATTTGATACTATTGTTAATGCGGTACCACTGATTATATCACATTAGCCAAAGTGACATAATTCTTCAAACCAGTTGGTCTTCCTGGTATACCAAGACTGAGGCTGCCTAAGGGTCATAAAAGGTACAACAACTCAGTGCCAAATAACCAGGGCCTGGGCCAAGTAGCAGCAACTTCTCATCCCAATAAATAGAAGAGACAGGATCTTGCAACAGACTCAAAACCCAAAAGCCAGCTACACCTAAAAGACACCTCTGAAAATAGTAATTTCCTAAAAGTTCTAAATATTATCAATAAAAAAAAACAAAATGAGAAGACACTTAAACAAGATGCAACCCCAGACTTCCAGTTCACCAAAAGAAAATCCAGGAGGCAGTGAGGTAGAACAATCTGAAAGCTACCCACCTGGACTCTCTGAAGTGGTAACAGTGAAAGTAACAAGGAGAAAGAATGGGGCTCTAGAAAAAAAAATTAAATCAGAAAACATTTTTTTTCAGATAATTACAGAAATGGTGACCATGGAGAGACCAAGGAATCCCTATAGATGATGCAAAGAAAATAATATAAGGTTGATCAGAGTCAATGAAAAAGCAGGAGACAGCACAAATGACCTAGAAAACCTATTCACAGACACCATAGCAGAAAACTTCTCTGGCAGGGAAAAAGAATGTGACATTTACATCCAAATTTAAGGCATATAGATCTCCAATTAGCTATGATGAAAAAAAAATCTATAGCAAGGCATATCATAGTCAAGATTTCCAATTCAACACAAGAGAAAATTTAAAGATGTTAGAGAAAAAAGAAACAAATCTCCTATAAATGGAAGCCCATCAGAATCACATTAGGCTTCTCAACACAAACCCTCAAATCCAGTAGACTTGAAGTATTCAAGCTCAAACAAACAAACAAAATCCTTCCAGCCTAGATTGATATGCCCCACAAAACTATCTTTCAAATTGATGGAGAAATAAAATAATTTCATGACAAAGAACACGTGAGGAAATTCATCAACACCAAACTAACACTCCATAATGTTTTGGAGGATATTCTAGAAAGAGTAAACAATGATTACAACTCCACAAACACAAACAGAATGAGCCCACTGGACAAGGCAAACAATTAAACAGGGAAAAAGAAGGGAGCCAACAACAAGAAAATAACATGGCAAGGACAAGTCAATACACATCAGTTACAGCCATCAACCAATGCTAATGGTCTGAATTTACCAATCAAAATAAACAGACTGGAAAAATGGATCAAGGAGCAAGATCCAACAATATGCTGCATACAGGAATCATATTTAATTCAAAAAGAAATTAATAGACTAAAAGTCAAAAGATAAAAAACAATACTCCATGCACAGGAACCCAGAAAAAAGCAGTGGTAGCTATTCAATTTGCAGACTAAGTAGATTTCAAGCCAAAATTGATTAAGAGAGATAAAGAAGTTCACTACATACACGCTTGCAAAACTCACGTCAGAATTCTAAGGTTTTCCTGGCTCATTCTTTAGAAGATCATCTTTCCCAGGCCCCAGATCATCCAACAAGCCCCAAAGGCAGACTTTGCCAGGTGTGATTTGCATGAAGAAACCAGAGCAGAGAGTCTAGCCACTAACCAGGTCCAGGACTTAGATTCTGGAGTCCTTTGCACTCTCCCCACTGAAAAGGAGGAAGAGGAGGATGATAACAAATACATGCTAGTGAGAAAAAGGAAGGCCTTGGATACCTTGGATGATGACATGCCGAGGGTGTCTCCCAGGATCCATGACCCTTCTGCATCTAATTCCCCCAGTGGAAGAAATCCCAGAGGACAAGTTGGAGAACATCTGCAGCAACTCCAGAGGGAAGATCTGTAATCACTCACTGGGTTCTACTTGTTATCAGTGTCATCAGAAAACTATTGATACCAAAACAAATTGTGGAAACCCAGACTGCTGGGGCATTCGAGGCCAGTTCTGTGGCCTCTGCCTTTGAAATTGGTTTGGTGAGGAGGTCAGCGACACATCTCCGGACCTGGACTAGCACTTCCCACTGTGTTGAGGGCTCTGTAACTGTAGTTTCTGACACCAGCACGATGGATGGTGTGTGACTTAGGTCCTCATGACCTTAGCCAAGTACCATGGCTTTGGGAATGTGCATGCTTACTTGAAGAGTCTGAAACAGGAGTATGAAACGCAAGTACATAATACCTAGAAGATTGGCTGCCCGCCTTCTACTTCACACACCCTCCTCGTTGAAGTTTACAGTTCTGTTATTGATTGAAACAGTAACAAGTTAAGAATCATGATGGTCAGTTTCATAGGACACTCAGATCAGGTTAATCTCTTTAGACTTGCAGGTGCTTCTAGAACTTCATAGAAGGCAGTTTGTTAGTGACACCTTGCACTCTTGCCACTTCTCTGGTCCCCTGCTCCCACCTGACTTCCCTCTGTTGCCATGGTTTCCTCCCACCACTTAAGTTTCCAAATTCTTTTTATTTCTTAAGTTGTGTATATGTGTGTGCATGGTGCTAGGGCTGAAATTCAGGGCCTCATGGGAGCTAGGTAAGTGTGTCCCACTGACTTATATCCCCAGCCTACAAATTCTTTTTCAAGAATGAGTGTATCTATTTGATTTAATTACTGTTGAAGTAGCCCTGAAACCTTCCTGTAGTTCCAAGCACTCAGAAGCATAGAAGTGTTAACACTGTTCTGTTGAAATAGTTTGTTTACATAGAAACAATGGGATATAACTGAGTGTTCACACTGATTGACTTTTAACAAAATCAAGGCACCTAAGTCTTAAAACTGTGGAAAAGTCAGGAAATTGGTGCAAAGTGGAGTGTTTTTCCAATGTCTCTCAGGAGAACCAAGAGCGCTCCACAGATCTAACTTGGTTGGTGAGGTTAAGTGGCTTATATAGTGCCCCAGGGGCTTGTGGGCAGCATTATGTTGTGCTACTTAAAATCACCGTAGAAAAGACATTCTGGATAACTTGGATGTGAAAAAGTTCAGAAATAGACTGATATGAATCCTTAGCATAAAACTTTAAAATCTTGGTATTAATGACTAGTCTGGTTTTTGTGGTGTCTTAAAATTATCCCTGCCAATGGCTGTGTACAGAGTTGAGGTTTAAGCACTTTTATAACAATAAGTGCCTTCTTGGAGATGATACCTTTCAACAGTTTGTTAACACGTTATCTCTCAGTTTTTCTCTGGGCCTATTTCGTACATCATCCGTCCCCTTTCCCTTTGTATTAAGTCAATCCGCAGGGTCCAGGTTACCTGTAGCTGTTGCTATGCTTGTTGAGGGATAGCTAATTAGGCCTTTGAACAATAAGTGTAAATACATCTTTTGATCTGTAATGCTTTAACACAAAGGTTTTTATTTTAATATTAAAACATTTTTGTTCTAAAAAAAACTCACAAGAATTTCATAAAAGCATGGAAATTAAATAATACCTTCCTGAACATTCAGTGGGTCACAGAGGAAATTAAAGAAGAAATTAGACAGCTTCTACAATTAAACTATAATGCCAACCCAATACACCAGAATTTATGGGACACCACGAAAGCAGTCCTATGAGGGAAATTTATAGCAATGAATATCCATATCAATAAAACAGAGTGAGCTCAAATAAACAATTTAATATTGAACCTCAAGCTTCTAGAAAGAAGAGGAAGTAAAGCCCAAAGCTCATAACAGGGAGGAAATTATACTGATCAGAGCAGAAATTAATGCAATGGAGACTACAAAAGCAATAGAAAGAATTAGTGACTCAAACAGCTGGTCCTTTGACAGATTAAATAAAATAGACAAACATTTAGCCAAATTTATCAAAAAAAAGGAAAGGCCAGGCATGGCGGCACATACCTGTAATTCCAGTATTAGGCAGCCTAAGGCAAGAGGATCACTGTGATTTCGAGGTCAGCCTGGGCTACAAATTGAGTTCAAGGTCAGTCTGAACTACATAGGGAAACTGTCTCAAAAAGACAGAAAGAGAGAGAGAGAGAAAAAAAAAGGAAACAAAAGATTTAAATCCATGCAATTAGGAATAAAAAGGATAAAAATCACAACAGATCCTACAGAA